ATTATATTATTATGTTTAGATTATTTTTCATATACAATTAAATTTATATTAATAAGTTTAAGTTAAAATTAAAATAATTATTGATAAGGTTTTTATTAATAAGTTTAAATTAAAATTAATATAGAAAAGTGAAAATTAAAAATTTATATGAAGGAGAGTTAAGGTGAAAAGTGTAATAAGAGATTTTCGCCCCTGGATGCATATTAAGATGGGATGCACCGGATCAATAATCGTATCAAACACAATTTATTGATTAGTTTGAGATTAAATATGATCAAGCGTTCATATATTTTATTATGTTTTTCACCTTAATTATCATTCTCAAACGATCATTCGCCTATATATACATATATATTAAATTTACTAAAAGGGTACTCGCACAATGCAGCGAGATACATTTTGATTTTAATGTTTCATTTTATTTTTTTGTCTCTATTGATGTTATAATACGATTATATGTTGTATTGAGAAAACAGTAATGTTTTTTTAATAAAATATCAATGTTAAGATATCATAAAAACTTTGAAAAAAATGTCTTATCAAATTAACTATATAAAACTTATCTTTTTTGTGTAATTCTTTTAATTCAATGTTTTTTTTATTATAACTTAATTTAGATTTGATAAAGAAGTAATTTATTTTTGTTTTAATAATTTTTTTTTAATAAAGATAATACTTAAGTATTCTGTTAGAATGATTATCCTAATTATATTTTAGATTTTTTTTATATTTAAAATGAGATGTTTATCCTATTACGATTATGGGTATCTGTTATTAGTTACACAAATTCATACATGAAGTTTTAATAAATTATACTTACAAAGGAAGTAATATGTGGTAAAGTAGCATTGATAGATGAACCAAGAGAATAGATGAAATGCATGGGTTACAATGTCATATGAGTACTAACCCCTGATCATTATGTCTGGAATCACAAAGAAGAGTATTTTTTCATTGATGCATACGCTTCATCACAAAAATTAACCTTGAAAGCTTGGAATTTGTATGTATCCTGAAAAACCTTCTTCGAATATATATATAAGTAGAGGATGTGATATAAATGAAAAACGATATGTATATCCGTCTAAATCTGTTGAATTGTTGCCTGATGGAGGTTATCTAAACCTGCTGAAATCGAGAGAAGGATATGGATGAATCAATTTGCCTGATGAAGGTTATCTAAATCTATTGAAATAGATAGACGAGAGGATATGGGTGAAGTTGATAAATCTGAGGTTCCGTTGGAAGTCAATAAATTAGGGACGAGGAGATATGTTTAATGGGTTATACCAAAGCATTGAGAATTTGTAAATTTGAAAATTAAGTAATTTAACATTAGATATTAATACACAATGCTTTGAAAGTTGTTTTTAAGAGATTGAGCCAAATGCTTTATAATATAGTATAGATATAATAATCTATGAATAAATTTATTTCTTCTAAATTTAAAAAATGGAAAGTAAGTTTTTGTAAGAAAATATGACAAATGAGGTTCTTGGAATTCTAAGGACCAGTTAAATAGCTTACAATCAGTTACAAGAAAATTCCTCAATGATCAATCGTAGGTGGACCAGTAGATTTTTCTTAACTTACAACATAAATTGGTTCAGTTAGTTGGTTTGTCCAACTCTACACTTGATATGGTCCTTGTGAGAAATGGACATGAACATGGCTTAAAAACAAGTTTATCTAGATTGGACCAGTTATATTTTGACTACCAGATTGGTCCCTCTATACCATTTTTTAAATGACAACTGGTTAGGACCCGAAAATGTTCTAATAATGATGTTCGGTTAAAGTGAATTAAGCCTTGAGGACCGGTTAATGAACCAACTTAACTTATTATATGAGGACAACTTTTCACTAGGCCAATTATGAACAAACAGGATGTTGTTCATAACCAAATTTTGTCTAACCCTAAATTGCTCATCATTCACAATTCTCTGGTACTATGTTCTTAGTTCTTAAAAAGCTTTCAAAAACGAGCTTCACCTCAATCTACTATATGCGTGAACATAGCTTACAAAATGAAAGGTAACCCCCCATAAGAATCCAAAAAAAACAGGCCATCTTTTCTCTATCTCAAAATTCAGATATGCCGAATCCCTTTAATAAGGAACAAAACAGAAGTTGTAGGTCATCACCATTCCAACTTTTGCGGGTTCTCTATAGTAATCTTGCCTTGCTTCTACTACTCATCGATTACATAACCATTTGACATAGACTCGACGTTCTTGATGTATTAAGAATAAACAGGAAAAAATAATAATTTTTGGGTCATATTTGACCACCATAAGCTAACTTATTTTTTGAGCTTAATGAAAAAGCTCATTTTGGTTTGTCATCATGAGCTAGGTTATAACGTAGTGTTTTAATAAGCTCTAGAGGATTTTTTTTTCCAACTATGCCCCTTATATTTATCCACTTAAGTTTTCATTATGTCTTTTTAGTCATTTTACATGTAGCTTATCAGCTAATTTTTACCAAACATGATTAGTTTATCGGCTAAACCTAGCTTATCAGTTAGTTTGCCAACCATAGCCTTTGACTATTCAGGTCAACCCTATTTTGTCAAGTTCATATTTTGGTTGAATTCGTTATAGAATTCGTCATCAACACATGTTGTAGGTGTCATATTTCAAAATTTTGTGGGTAAATGCTGAGGTAAATGCCGACTAAAATTGTTGTTTACCTGAATATTTGATATTAATTGTTGACTTAGTAAAATTGACCATTATACTCACTTTTCTGAGTCATTGTATGGGGAATGGAGCATCTATACCTTGCAAAGAACACCTCTGGCAGCCTTGTATGTAGGGGCAGTCAATGTCCTTTTTTGCTCATCGAGCTCTTTGTTTGTTAAGTCAACGTTCATTCTTCTCTTGCTGATATCTATGGTGATCAATGTTTTCAATTAGTTCGATCGGTCTACCTTCTTGCAAACATGTGTTACAAACATCGAACTCTAGTTGATATTAATTTTTTTTTCTTTTAGTTGATGATATCTGATATCGTGCATTTATAGTTAAACATAAGAAGCAGATGACAGAAACCTGCGCTTCGAAGCATATGTGTCCAACAAGATATCCATGTGAACCACTTGAAAATCTTCCATCAGTCAACAAGGCAACTTCCTACAAGATTTAAACAACACCAAGCTTTCTAAGAACAGAAAATGTTAGAAACAACCATCATACAAAAGGGCCAGTCTCCGGGTCGCCGATAAAATATTTATAAAGTTAGACATTTACCATCAATTACAATCCGCTGTAATATAAATAAGGGTATAATTGTAAAATTGTTATATTTCCTTTCTCTCTTGGTCAAGAACATGTGAACTTTTTTTTAATTCCCTTCCCTTCTCTCACAAGAACACAAATAAAAAAAATGTTCTTTCATTTACTTTTTTTTCTTCCCAAATTCAATAACACAACATGCAGGTGAGGGTGTGTGTGCGTATTTGCCATGTATAAATGTCAAATACTTCAAAAGAAAACAACCATCATCATCTTGCACCATTTTGAATCGAACCCAGAAAATAAAAATCTAAAACTTTGTTGGCAGTTAATAAAAGTCGAAACAAGTACCTTCCCAAGACCTGCTCCCATTATCACACTTGTTGGTGTCAGCATTTCAGGCATACCAGGTCCTCCTTTAGGCCCTTCTCCTCTAATAACAATTACCTTCCCATGAAACATGATTTCTGTTGGTCCCAAAAGGGTCTACAAGAATACTAAACAGTTTGTAGAAGGGGGGGGGGG